AACAAAACGATAGACAAGCAGGCATAACATCCATACATCCATACATTCGACAATCATACACATAATGCAATTGGGACGGACATTGCAAGGACAAGTGTGAGTAAAAACCCAAGCCCGGATTCCAGAAGGCCGAAACAAGAATAAGAAGGGGCAAAACCGCCCGGAGCCGTAATCAAAATGTATGTACACAGATGAAGAGGGGGAAGAGACAAAGAAACAGCAAATCCGCGTCCATCAACCTCAACTCTCTCCTTCTCTTTCTCTCTTCTCCGATGCGGACAGTCTGTCGTCACGCACCAACCCATGAAGTTGTCACCCCGCTTAGTCCTCCCGCACCCGTCGGATTCGCCCGTGCCCACAGTCCGTCGTGGCGCATCTCAATCCCGCGCGTTCGGCACCAGCCCGCCGGGTCGCCCAACTCCTACTCTACTCACCTCTTACTTCGCTCGTGTGCCGACCCTTCCTGATCGCGCAACCCCGAGCTCCCAACAACGGGTTAAGAGAGCTGACTAATCGCGCAGCCGAAATTTATAGCGTGCATGCATGCGCAAAGAACACGGAATTACCAGGACTTAGAGTGAGGATTAGAGAGGGAGCTCCTGTGTTCTGCATGATTGGCCGCGGCGTGGGGGACGTAACCCTTCTCCACGCATCGATCCGAGCATGCAAGCCGCGGCTTACAAAAATTTCAGCAAAAGAAAGAGAGGGAGGGCGGGAGAGACGAAGTGCAAGAAGAAAGATACAATTACAATGGCGCCCGCCCAAAATCACAGTTACGCACACGATTAAGGGCACCCAGTAATCCAAGTACCGTTGCAGCCTCATGAAGAAGCGCGTAGACAAAAAGGCGCCGGGCGGCAGGAAAAATCCTAATTACGGAATTCCTAAATTCTTATTTAATGCGAAAAAGCAAAAAGCACAAATTCCAGAAGGAGAGTCTGAAATTCCGAGAGCCATCAGGGGATCGACAAAACTCGAAAAAGATTCAAAAGGGATTTCAAAAAGAACGAAGCAATTTCCCGCGCGATGTTTGCGCCCAAAAGATTGAAATCGAACCGAAAGAAACGACCTCTATATTTATTAATCGTGCGCGCGCGACGACGCCATTACAAGAAATATCTTCTAATTTAGATTGGATTAACCTATTTATGACCGAAAATCCTTACTTAGAATGAAAGTCTAATTAAAATATTTCATAAACTCATCCACACTTTCATTTTATCTTTAGCATGCAGTTCAAATAAGAAAGGATACCCCATCTTCGGAAGGAAAGTTTTCAAGTAAGACGGAAAATTTTGAAATTGGAATGACATTTTTTAAGATGGAGTGAAAATTTAAAATTTGGAATGTAATTTCACTATAGAATGATTATTTAATTCTTGGAATTTTTTTCGTTGTCCAAATGGCAGCACAACAGGACGTCCACAGAATATATCCCCCTCCTTCGCACGCGCCCACAAACTGGAGAGCTGAAGCACCCGAATGTCATGGCAGCTCCCTGGGTAACCGACGAAAACGTCCCTGATTCGCAACTCCAGGTCCACCACCACCTGCGCTACAACGGAAAAACGATGCTTCCGGTCGAAGTAGTTCTCTGAAGGAGCGTTGGCCGGTTTGTCGACGTAAACATGAGTGCAGTCTATGCAGCCATAGTAGTTGGGAAAGCCCTTCGCCTCGAAGGCACGCAGAACGAGTGTACGACGCATCCCAGTAGGCCAAACGAGCTTGTCATTGTACACCCTTAGGAGCGCCCTCGTAACGTCCTCCACTGCGATCAACCCGGTTGCGCGCCCTATTCTGAATGACGACGTGCTGCTCTCGTACGTTTCCCCACTCGCCCATCGGTACAACACATATGCGATGATGTGATCCGGCTGCAAAGAAACCCTGTAGAATGTCACCCGCTGCTGCAGAAGAGGGGACAACGCCTCCACGATCTCAATGAACACCCTAGGGGACATCCTCAACTTTTCCTTGTAGTACTCGTCTGAGGCGTTGTCCATCTTCCGCAGATCCTCCCACGTGTCACCCGTCCTTCTCCTCATCCACCACCTTGGAGCCGCCCGCGGTATCACCCCGGATGACATGGCGGCGCAGAACTGGATAATGGATTCGGACATGGACACGCAGTCTGGCGCCGCCATCACGTGCTGGAGGAGCTCACGCTGCCTGCGAATAGACACTCTCGTCCTGAACCGCGTCGTCGTTCTCTCGATGCGACATCGCATGGCCACCGCCGACACTACTGCAACCACCGCATTTCTCTCCACTCTGCTCAAGGTCTTGCCACAAACCTCCTACGACACGTGTTCCATCACGAAGCTCCGACAGCGCCTTGTTGAACACGCACAACAGACGGACGACTGGACCCTCGTCGCACACTGTCCCAGCGGACGCTCTGGCGAGGGCAGCTCCTCGTACACGAATGACGGGCGCACGAAGCTATGGCGAACCACCGGATCATCGTCGTCTACAGGAAGAAGAAAGTGGGACACACACCATTTCACGCACTCCAACGTCGTCACCTTTCGCGCCGCGCCAGCTGACGATCGGATAAACGAGTCGCCAACAGCGATGGGCGCCGCAAATCGTTCGCGCACACATTTCGCACACTAGTAGCTCCACGGGTGGTAACGTCACGGCGCGCCGGTGCGTATGTAATGAGGGTTTGAAATTCGAATTTCGAAAAGGAACCTTTGCGCCTCTTTTTGCAGCGCAGCATCGCAGGCCTCCTTGTGCCGCCATTGGGCCACGCCTGGCAACAGACGGACATCCCACGACGACGACGGATATCCTCCCCCGCGGCCTCGTATATGCGTATGAAATTGGCCGCGGGATACCTCCAAGGTTTTTTCCTTGGGACCCTTTCGTTTAGGATGCGCTGTAACGCCGCCGCCGAATTCCTTGAAATTTTCCAAGGACTTCGTCCTAATTCCTCAGGATTTTTCAAGGAGGGTCTAACAAGGCCCATACTCACACTAGCGTCGTTGAAATGCATCCAACCACTTTCACGGCCAAAACATTGTTGGCATTTTTTGTTTTTTCCTTCTACGACTTTTATTGTGAGTCTGACAGTCGTGCTCCCCGTGTTCCTCGTTGTGCAGAAGTGCCCTCACTGAGGGCAGTACTCCAAGAAGTGTATCCGACCGCAATCACGGTCGGAGCTTGTTTTGTTTTGGGGGGCATTTTGTTTTTTTGTTTTTCTTTTTGTGAGTCTGACAGCCATGCTCCCCATGTTCCTCGTTCTGCCGAAGTGCCCTCACTGAGGGCAGTACTCCAAAAAGTGTATCCAACTGCAATCGTGGCCAAAGCTTGTTTTGTTTTTTTGGGACGTACGGATTTGACATGCGCCAAAGATTTTGAAAATCTTCTGATGCCTCGAACCTGCCCCGAGCCAGCCTTTTACTTCTTGTGGCGACAAGTTATTTTGCTGCAAGGTTGATGTCGTGTACTGGTGGTTTAAATTGGTGATACGTGCATATGGTGGGAGCTGCATATTTTTGAAGAGGCCTTGCTTTGCAAATTGCGATGGACATTTTGGTAAGTGTGTCATCAATAACTGTAGTCGGCTGGATCGGATCGTTCCCAGAGGGCTAAAAGGCAAGAAGGGGGCGGGGGGAGCTCTACCTTGCAGGGGCATCACAAGGTGGGGGGTGAATGTCTTAAAGGGGGTAGGGGCGGAGTAGGGGGTTGCCCTATTCTGGGCGAGGGGCTGGTGTGTGGGTCTGTGACGAACCACTTTCTGTAACGCGCGATTTTCTGCGCGGTTGCAACGAGGGGTCCTAAGCTGGGAAGGTTGGGCCAATCACGGGAGATCGGGATCGGTGGAGAATTGCATTAGTGTCCTCGCTTTTTCGTCCTTTTCGTCGCTTCTTTTTCGAATGGCTGGGCACGGAGCTGGGTGTGTCTTGGGACGGCCGTAGTTGGAAGGGAAAGCTCATATTTAGACGGGAACTTATGAAATAAGACTGAAAATTTTAGAATTGGACGAACATTCGAATGATAATTTATAAATATGAAGGATTTTTTTTTTATGAAATGTTTTTTCAACTTCCATTTTTCGTGGGAATTTTCCTGTTGGAGTGAGGACACACGGTTACATTCTGGGCGACAACGGGCATCCGTCGCAATAGTGGATTGTCGTGCTGTACGGGGGGAGCGATCAAATCCCCGACGAGGAGAGGTTCGACAACAACTAAAAGGTCGCGAGGGGAGCAGTGCAGAGAGCCTTCGGGTGATTGAAAGGGATGTGGAGGTTTTTCCTCTACACACACAAGACGAATATGGACAGTCTCCCACAGCAGTTCCATGCTGTGTGCATTCTGTACAACATCCTTCTTGACGCTGACATGGACTTCGACGACAACTTGCTGTAAGAAGTGGATGCTAATGACGTGCGGCGGCGAGTGGACTTGGGGTTGGATCATCCACCCCATCCCATTGCTGAGAACTTCAATAGGCCCCGTGCGTTGGCGCTATGCGAGGCGTTGGCCGAGTGGATGAAACACGTGTGAAGGCGCGCACCCTGTCGACGGCGCGTAGCTATGGCATCCTTTTCGAGGTCGTGATGGGGTCATCTTTCACCGGAGGCGTTCTGTGTTGTCTCGGTGTCGCAGGAGTGCGCCGTGCCCTTGAGAGTTCTTTCGCAGTCGTTTTCCTTTGTTGTTGTTAACTAGGAAGTAGTGTGTAGTTTTCGCCTGGTGATGCGTGTTGTCGTGAGTGAGTGTGCGCAGCTGCGCGAGTTCCATATCGAAGAAGACGGTGTCTGTCGGTTTCTGTGGTTTGAGCCCGGAGGAGACTCGTTTTATTTCTCCAATTTTTAACAGTGTTCTTCTCTACGAACTTCCGGGTGAATGTTTGCGCCTTTCAGTGGTCTGTGACGATGGTGTGTTTCGGTGTCTTTGGTATAAATCCATAGTGCTTTGTTTTATTTTTCTTTTTATTGTTTTTTTTGTTTTTCCTTTTCTTTTATCGTGTGTTGCAAGTTGGAATCTCGTGGGCGATGTGTGCGCGTTTCATTGATGTGTTGCCTCCTCACCAGGCTCCAAGTACGCATGCAATTTTTTTGGACTTTTCACTGCGCTTTCAGTAACACACCGAAACCCACTCCACCCCCTGTGCCCGACTACCTGGAGCGTTGAACCGTAGCTTGGACAAGCCTGTCGGCTAACCGATCAACCGATCACTGGGTCAGTTCATCGGTTTGCAGGCAGAGTTGTTCGTATTGAGCTATAGTGATCATAGTGTTCATCACATCGAAAACCAACATCTGTTCCAATCAGTCAATCAACGATCACAAACAAAAACAATATTCACACCGATCAAGAGAAATTGAAATAAGAAGAAACGCGTCGTCATATTCAAACACGACTAGAGCTTTATATTGCTGGACTCGAGTACACGAAACAATCTCACAAAACCCGATCGAAGTTTGACAGTCATTAAAAAAAAGACTAATAAAAGGCGCCAGTCGTCTATTGGCGCAGACTAACCATCACATTAACTTAACAATGCACCATGAAATACCCTTCAAAGTCGACCTCTCTCGGAGGTCGGTAAACAGCTACCAAGCGTCGGCGGGAGATGCGACACCTTGCGCACGTGCGGCGTGGCGAAACGGGAAAACAATCTTCTAAGCGGCTCTCGCATGGCGAAACAACTCAATGCATGCTAACCATTTGCGCTCGTCGCCAACATCCCTCGCCTCCAAGCCGCAATTCCGACCCCCCCCCTCTCTCCCCTCCCCCCCCAACCGGAACCCTCCGCCGATCCAGCACTCCCATTTCCTGCCAAATCCAAACCTTCACGATGGACCTCTTCACTCCACGGGCGATGCCTTCTTCCATGTCACGCAAGATGGCCATAACGAGGATATTCACGCTCCTATTTCGTCTTGTGGACTGTCCCCCTTTCGATCGCCTTCAAAAGGTCCCATCCCAATGGCATCCACTCCATTCTCGCCACGACGTCGGGGTCCGCCAGGCCAGCGTGGTAGTTGAACCACACTCCGCACGAATCCCACTCCAGGACGTAGTCAGGGAAAGCACCCAGTGTCAACGGTGGCTTCCGTAGGCGACTTAACAGTGCGTTAGCCGAGTGCATCACATGGCGGCGCCAGTTGAAGGACAATGAACAGGACGCCACTAGAGTTGGCTTCACCACTAGTTGCGTGTAGTACGACGCCTCGTCGTAGGAGCGCGCATCGTCACCTCCCATGTGCATGATCCATATGCACGCGGCGAGAAGCAGGCGGAAAGCATCCCCAATTCTGCTCAGTCTGTGGTGGGACAATCTACCGCCGTCCCACCACTGCCCGGCCCGGAGCGCGTTGTGGAAGCAGGACGCCAGATGCATCACAGTCGCCTCCTGGTGCGCGGCCATGTCATCGTCCTCCGGCCTGTCCTTGATATACACCCCGGCCAACCACAACGGGATGTCCATCTTCAAAGCGACCGTGTGGTCAACCACGCTGGGCGGCACTATCCTGGACCACTCCAAGCTCTGCCAGACTGCTCTCGCCAAGTCGGTGGGGTAATCCACGGCGACGTACGACTCCGCGCGGGCGAAACCATCGTACCTTGAAGACGACCTGAATATCCCGCTGTGGATGACGCGCATTGCCACGTTCTTCGTTCGTCTCGCCCGTCGCAGAGCTGGCTCTCTCTGCGCTCCATCTTCGATCCACACGCGCGGGACTTCGGGGGACGGCATGATGAGGCCTTGCGGAGCGCTGGCGCCTGCATCTTCATTGACGATCGCGTTGTAGTAGTCGACGCAGGAATGCACAGCATCCACGATCATCCGTCCGGGACCGGTTCCCTAGAACGTTTTCCCGTCCACCCAAAGCTTCAATTTCGCCTCCAACTCCTCCTCCTTGCGGGACCTTTTCTTCCTCGTGCTCAGAGGCTGGTCGTCCTCGTCCTCCCCAAGCGGACTCTCCTCCCTCCTTTCCTGTTTTCTCGCCTCCTCTTCCACCCTCCGATCTTTTCGCCTTTCTCCTGTAGTGGCGGCGGCGGCATGGACAGCGGCGGCGGCATGGACATCGGCGCTCGGTGCTTGCGCGGAATGAAGGACAGCCATCGACAAAGCGCCAACGATCGTCGTGTTCAAGGCCTCCACGTGGCGCGGTGGAGACTCAGTGACCGGACCTTTATCGTCGTGTTCCGACACGGATGCGATGGTAGATGTAGAACCCACGGCCCTCTGCGGCAGAATGTCACCGATCACAACCCCTTGCAGACGCGCCGTCCCGCCAGCGCCGGCGATCCGCAAAGACGGCAAGACGCCAAGGTTGGTGAGCGCAAGCATATGCTCCCTGCTCACACCGTCTCACCCGAACCCACTCATAGGCGTCCCTCCGCCCGTGATGTCCATAGGCGTCACCTCCTCTCCCCCCTCACCTCCCGTCTCGCCTTCCGACCCGTCTCCCGCACGGAGCTTCTTCGACTTCGGGACGTGCCCCCTTCCTGTTTGGCCGGCACCCGCTTCGCCCGACCCAGTGCGTTCCGTCGGCCACTGCTGTCCACGTGGTGCGATTCGCTGACGATCCGATGCGCTCCGCTCCTGTGAACGAAAGCGACTGCCACAACGCTTGAGAAGAACGTGCTAGCGATTGTCTTCCGCGGGCGATGATCAGCTCCCCGCGCAGTGCAAGCCAACCCCCACCCGTCGCCTTGCAGGCACTCGTCAACAGAAAAACAGGGACAAGATAGCGCACGCGCAGACCTTTATAGTGCTCGCGGTGACCTTTCCCCTCCGACGGCGTGCGGATCCCACCCATACAGCCTCTAGCACACCCCTCCAGGCGACCGTAGCGACGATCACCCATTCGGCATGCGGGCAGACCACCCGAAAAACCACGCCACCCCCCTCAAGATCCCGTGAACGAAAGCGGACTGCCACAACGCTTGAAAAGAACGCGCTAGCGATTGTCTTCCGCGGGCGATGATCAGGTCCCCGCGCAGTGCAAGCCAACCCCCACCCATCGCCTTGCGGGCACTCGTCAACAGAAAGACAGGGACAAGATAGCGTACGCGTGGACCTTTATAGTTCTCGCTGTGACCTTTCCCCTCCGACGGCGTGCGGATCCCACCTAGACGGCCTCAAGCACACCCCTCCAAGGGACCGGAGCACCGATCACCCATTCGGCATGCGGGTAGACCACCCGAAAACCACGCCACCCCTCTCAAGATTTGTCCCTTATAGCTCTGGCGATCTCTATCAACGCAGTGCACATCATCCTGTTCGCCTCGTTGGACGCCACGTAATGCCTCTCCAGTATGTCACACTGCCGCTTCTGGGCTTCAACCACCCGGTCAAGTATGTCACACTGCCGGTCCAGGATGTTACACTTCCGCTTGCTCGAACCCTCTACCATGTCCGCCATCAATGCACCATGTTTCTCCATGACTTCGACGATGGCGTCGAAGGTTTGCTGGCGCATGTTCTTCCTCTTCCCTGGAGCGCCGTGCTCCCTGCACTGAACCCCGACTCCCGCGCCGAACCCCCATCTTCGTCGGCGCCATCACCCCCCTCTCCACCGGGAGCGGACTCTCCACCAATGGGCGGCTGCCGCTGACCATCCATTACAGGCGTCACTCCTCCGCGGGCGCTCGTGTCTGCCACGTTGTCCGGGTAGATGGTCTTGTTATTTTGTGACATGTTGTCGATCTCCTTGTACACTCGCTCATCCATTCCGAAGTTGAACCCCTCCTCCGTCCTCATTGCAGGAGTCAATATGAAAAAGTTCTTCCCTCCGGACATGTTCTTGTAATGCTGCACCTTCTTGTACTGCTGGAAGATGCTATCCCACTTCTTGCTGATGTCGTCCGTTGTCCTGTTCACTCCCACCTCCGCCAGCCGCTTCTGCAGGTCCTGTAGCTTCCACTCCCTGCTGCGCATGGGGCCGTTGTTGTGCGGCATTCCCTCAAAATGAGCTTGCTGATCTCGCTTCGCTCGAGAGAGCTTCAGCATCTCCTCCACACTCCAAGCTTGGTGCTTGCCGCCCTTGTCTCCCACATGAGCCGATCCTCGACCACCACGCGAAGCGGCCCTCTGTTGAGGTCCGGCTCCTCCCCTCCGCCCACCGCACGCAGCCACGGGTCAGATCTCCAGCCCCTCAGCATCTTCCGCGTCATCCCCACTCGGCCGACGACTGTCGTCCGCATCCACGTCGCTCCCCACACGCAGCCTGGACACACCAGTGGTGATGTTGTCCGTGCCAGCACACCGCATATGTTGGCGGCAGTTCTCCCACGTCTGCCTCCCGATCTCTTCCGGCGGAGTGGCATCATTGAATGCAGCACTTGCGGTCGCCCTCTCCCGCATTGCAGGCAAGGATAATGCAGGGCGGGTGGGTGTCGCTACCCTTGACGACTCGGCAGGTGGCTCGGCACCTACGGAACTGGAGGGCGGTGGACGACACCCATCCGTTGGCCCGCCGACACGGGACGATCTTCCTCCGAACGTCGGCGCTCCCACCATGCCCACCGCCGTTTGTGCGACAGTCGTGCCCCCGCCGTTGGCCGGACCACTTGCACCAGTCCCGCTGGACAATCCAAAATCCAAGTCGACAAGCTCCGTGGTCCGATCATCGACACCGTCGTCCAGCAATGAGGAGAACGACTCACGCCCTGTGACGGACCCGCCGGGATGGCGGTCCGTCAGGATCAAGACGAAGGGATGAGGATGGGGGACATGGAGATGGAGCTGGAAGGGACAGCGCAACTCCAACGCAGACTCAACACGCACGTACTCCAATCTGTGCAAATGAAGAATGTCACAAAACAGACTGCAGCTGGGGTATACCCCCAGCGGACTGACTGGACTGGACTGGACTGGCCTGGTACCGACAGTGGTACCGGGCAGGACTGGACTGGACTGAATAACCGCATGGCCAGTGGGGTCAGGCCACGGCCTGGTCCCACAGGCCGGACTGGCAAATAGCCAAATCTGGCTGTGGGCCAGGGCAGATGAAGGTCCGCTGCACGATCCTCACACCTGTAATGGATCGCAAGAGCCATAAAGACGCTATCCGCAAAAGCAACGGAACTCTGCAATAAAGAAAGCTGAGAAATCTAGGATGCGGAGCAAGCTCCATGCAGAGTCCATGCGATGCATCCTAAGCTATATAATATCAAAAGAAAAGCAAATGTCTGGTATACATATCCTAGCTAACAGCAGAAAATGAAATGTAGTATGATACACTCCTAAAGTCCTGGAGGCAGTGGCCTCAGTGCTGAAAGGAGAAGAGCAATATGTCA